TACCATAAGAAAATGACTGACAGTGGTGGGAAACCACGGGTGGGGGGAGGATGGGACTAATGGTAGTAAACATCTGTCTGGGGATGGGGAGACACCTGTTATCAACAAGGGGGCCTAAATGAAGCATATTTGTATACCTAACCCTTAACTGTACTCCACAATATCAAAATAAAAAATATTGATTAAAAAAAAGGAAGAAATGAAACTGTCTCTATTTGCAGATGACAAGATTGTTTAAATAGAAAATCCCAAGCAATCTTCAAAAAAAATTTCAAAACTAATAACTGCTTCTAGCAAGGGTACAAGACATTAAAATGAACTAAATTAGTTAATAAAATCAAATTGCCAGCAAAATAATATTGGCCAGCTTACTCTATTTTGTTTAAAACTTTCATATTAGTCACCTGCCTGACCTAAGAATCAATGTCTATGTGTAATTACAATAATGTCCCCATGACCACAGACCCCCCGGCTTTATTTCCTTTGGGCAGGTTATGCTGACCATTGCCTGCTGACCATTACAGAACTCCTTTGCCATAAGTTCCATGTAATTGTATACTTTGTTAACTGAAATCAAATGTTACGCTTTGACATTTTCAGAGTTTGTTCTTATATTCTGTTAGTGACCTAACCAAGGTAACTCCATTATATAATGATTCTTCTTCCTTGTCTCTATGTAACTATCTTAAACTATATCTTAATGGCAGAACTCCAGGGACTTTCTGGACACTGGCTATACCTAGGACATGAAATTAATCATAACTCCCTAACAATTAAAGTTCCCATTTTGGTTGCCAAGTTGTTAGTTAATAGGTGCTATGGTCACTAAGTTGCTATGTAGCCAATACTACAAATTTTACCTACAAAAGCTTGCCACAAACTGCACCAGTTTGCCAAGAGTTTTTCTGGCATTTGCCTACTCTTGACCCGCGTGTTTAATAAATTCATAATTAATTAGACAACTTGCTGGCGTAACTTTTCGCTTACTCAGTTATAATAACATAAGGTTAATAATCGTAAAAATCAGTTGTATCTATATATACTAGCAAGGAACAACTATAAACCAAAATTTAATAATTGGAATCACTTATAGTAGCCACCCAAACAGGAAATACATATAAATCTAATAACATATGTGTAAGATCTGTATGCTAAAACTACAAAACACTGATGGAAGAAATTTTAAAACTCCTAAATAAATGGAAAGAGATATACTGTTTTCATAGACTAGAACACTCACTATTGTTAAGATATCAAATTTTCCCAATTTTATCTATAGATTAAATGCAATCCTAATCAAAGTCTCAGCAGAAATTTTTAAATATTGACTTGCTGATTCTAAAATTTGCAGGAAAAAGAAAATGGAATTAGAATAGCTAACACAATACTTAAAAAGAAAATTCATAGCACCTAGTTTTAAGACTAACTATAAATCTACTAGAAACAAGTGTGGTATTGTTGAAAAGAGTAAACATATTGTTCAATGGAAAAACTAGAGAGTTCAGAAACAGAGTCATACAACTCTGGTAAATTGATTTAAAAATATTTTTAATTGATAAATAATAATTGTATATATGTATTTATAGAATACAATGTGATGTTTTGATATATGTATACATTATAGAATAACTGAATCAAGATTTATTTATTTTTTGAGTTGGAGTCTTACTCCATTGCCCAGGCTGGAGTGCACTGGTACACTCACAGCTGCCCCAGCGTCGACCTGCTGGGTTCAGGCGATCCTTCCGTCTTAGCCTTCCAAGTAGCCAGAACTACAGGTGCGCACTACAATGCCCAGCTAATTTTTTAAAAAATTTATTGTAGAGATGAGGTTTTGCCAAGTTGCCCAGGCTGTTCTTGAACCTGAAGGCTCAGGCAATCCCCTCACCTTGGTCTCCCAAAGTGCTGGGATTACAGGCTTGAGCCACTGTGCCCGGCCTAAATCAAGATTTTAAACATATCTATTACCTCACCTACTTATTATTTTTGTGGTGAGAACATTTAAAATCTATGCTTCTAGCAATTTTGTAATATACAATACATTATTATTAACTCTAGTCACCATGCTAAGCACTAGATCACTAAAATGTATTCCTCCTAACCAAAACTTTGTATCTTTTGAAGGCCAATTATCTTTGACAAAGGTAGAAAGATAATTCAAGGAGAAAGGATAGTTCTTCAAAAAAAGGTGTGGAATAATTGGACATTCAAATGCAAAAGAAAAAAAGAACTTCAACCTATCCTTCACACCTTATACAAAAATCAACTCCAAAATAGAGAATAGGTCTAAATTTAAAATGTATAGTTATAAAACTTGTAAGAGAAAACATAGGAGAAAAAAATGTTGTCCTATACACAATTGTTTTTTATAATTTCCTTGGCTGGTTCTAGAGAGACAGACTGCTCATATAGAGACAACAGCAACACATGGTGTGTTAAGCAGAATCTCAGAATGATTGCTTTTAAACATTAAATATCTTTAAAATTTTAAATATTAACTAACTTTAATGAATAATGGTGATTTGAACTATTTTCCAAATGAACAAAAAAATACCTGAGAGACTTTATTACCAATGGCAACTTCTAAGGAGCATACTTTAAGAAGAAACAGTCATTCTTCTGTTTGAAGATAAAATGAAAGCAGACTTGATCAAATTATAGTGAACACTAAACTACAAAAACCATGCAGTCCCTGGCAACATCAATTTAAAAAATATTTAGATATAATAAAAGTATATCTCACATATTTTTAAAAAATAGAATAGCAAATTCTGTGCTTCCTAAATAATTTTACCAAAGGCCAAATAATCTAGTTTTTAGAATATTATCCATCACTATCTCCTTAAAAATGTGATGGGCCTTCTGTTGCATAAAATATTGGGTACTCTTTTATCAGAATTGATTTGTGCTAAAGCACTCATAGTGCATGGGTGTTGACCACAAGACTCTGAACACTCAGAAGGTCTTATGAGGATTACTGTCAGGAAGCAAACACACTGGAAGACAAAGTCTCCTTTGCTCATGTGTGAGCTTCAGTCTCCAGTGAGACACAGCAAAACCACATCTTCGCTTTCACCATTGTATAGTGCACGTTCATATATGTCTTAGTCTATTTTTAATTGTATTTCCTTGGTTTCTCAGTCTACTTTTAAAGTCACCATCCCACTACTTTACCTTCCAAGTCATTATATAGATGTTACCCTATTTTTCTTTTCAGACTTTTTATGGATTTTTTCATTCAATTATTCTTCTTTGCAAAAACAGTCTATCTCCAGTCTGGGTGACAGACTGAGACTCTGCCTCAAAAAAAAAAAAAAAAAAAAAAAAAAGAAAAAGAAACAAACAACACAACTGAAAATGAACAAAAGTGTTGAACTCATTTCATCAAAGAAATATAAGGATAGTAAATAAGCACATAAAAAGATGCTTAACATCATTAGTCATTAGGGAGATGGAAATTAAAACAACAATGATATATAATACATACCAATTAGAATGGCTAAAACAAAGAAACAGATAATACTAAGTACTGATTAGTATATAGAGCAACCAGTCATACATTGCTGTTGGGACTTCAAAATGGTATAGCCATTCCGAAAAACAGTTTGATATCTTTTTATAAAGCTAAACATACACTTATCACGAGTCTCAACAAGCCTATTCCTAGGTATTTGCCCAAGAAAAGTGAACGTTCCTATTCATAGAAAAACATTTAAAGAAATATTTTTAGTAGCTTTATTCATAATAACCAAAAAAAGGGAAATAACTTTCTAATGGTAAATGAATGAGCTAAATACTACTCAACAGCAGAAAAACTACTGATACATGAAATAACAAGGATAAATCTCTCAAAGCATTATGTTAAGTGAAAGTTCCAGTCTCAAAAAGCTACATTCCGCTTGACTCCACTAATATGACATTTTTGAAAAGGTACAACTATAGTTATAAAGAATAGATTGGTGGTTGCATTGGTTAAGGATAGGGGAAGGATCTAACTACGACGGGACAGTGAGATAGAAATTTTAGGAATTTAAAAACTCTTGATTACAGTGGTGCCAAAAATGCATAGAACCGTAAGTCAAAAGAATGAATTTTACTTTATATAACTGTAAAAATAAATAAATAAAAATTTAAAAAATTACTGTTTGCCTGGTCTGCTTTTCACTGTTACAGTCATCTATTCTAAGACCATTGGTTTATGCCAGAATCACAAGTTCAGAAGTGAGATTTGTGGGAAACTGGTGCAATTCCCAACTCAATGCAGAAATTTCCCCTAGATGCCTCCTGGGAACTTCTGCTTGGAGATCATTAGCAAAGAGAAACTCCCTATCTCCCAAATCAGACCAGTTCATAGTAGATAGTTTTTGCTGCAAGTTATTTCTTTTATAACCAAAACTGGTTTCCCCACCAGTAGCCCCTACTGGTTCTAGTACTATTCCCTGGAACTACAGATATCAAGGCAGGAGTCCTCTCTTCCACTGTAGTGGTGGCAGAACCTTACAAGGGGATAGCTTGAAGCCACTATCCCCCTGTAAGGTTCTAGCAGATTACTTAGAATCTTAGTAGAAGCCAAGAATCTGGACCAACCCCTCTGTATGATAGTCTGTGAAATCCTGGGCTACCCTGAGCCGTGGAGAAGGCATCTATCTGGTTCCAGCCCTAGAAGTGCCCGAATCATACAGTGGGAATCCTCTGGAGAGGAAGAACATGCTTCTAGGTCCCTTCCCTGAATGAAACTTGACCAGTCACTCTCCTTTTGATCAGAAAGCTACATGATGTTCATTTCTTTCTTCTGAATCTTTTCTGGCCTCTAATTGCATGAACAAAATCTACAAATCAATTTTGGCCAGCAAGTAAGGAAAAATCCTTAAACAGGATTCAAGTTGGCCAAGCTATAGTCCATTCCCACATGAACCATGGCCTGGTCATATAAGCCACCTGCCTAAGCAGAAGGGGATCATTTCAGTGAACATCCTGGATACTGCTAGGTGTTGTCTTACCTGTTTGAAGTTGCCATTTTTCCTCTGCTCCCAATCCATCATGTCATGAAAGATGGGAATCATGATATTTCGCACTTCTGGCTGTGGGACCAGTGTTACACCCAGAAAAGGACCAATCATTCCCGGAATAAAGTGGATCTTATGTTCACCTGAATGACAAAATCCAGCACATATTAGTTCATGGCTGCTTTGCTCTTTCCATGGAAACTTCTCAAGTGGGGCCACAGCACATGCTATGATCAGTACTGAAAGCTTCTGAGAGCAAAGCAAGCATTTTCTTACGGTTTTCGGAGATACTCCCTCTCAGTTTTTTAGATTTAATAGATACAATTGACCTAATCTGGTTAAAGCAAATGTGCAACAGAAAAAAACCAAAAAAAACCCCCCAAAAAACCCAAAAACGACTTTTCCAAATAATTTCCTGAAAGGCTCTACAAAGTATCTGAAAACCTCTCTGAGGTCAAGGAACAGAGTTTACAACTGTAGACAGAACGGGTTTCTGAGTAACCTACGATAGTTTCAGATGGTCTATTCACAGCATTTGTTTAAAAAGAAAAATCCACATATTTTTACTTAAACACAATGCATTCTCTCTACAGTTTCTACCTCTAGCCCAGAGGGATTCAAGTGATGAGGCTATTCTAGTCTCTGGTCTAACCACCAGAGGTCTAAAGTCCATGAGCCTTTCACTACCTGTTTTCATGTATGTCAGAGAAGCCACCCACTCCTGAGTTAGTAGGAGTCTCCTGCACAGCCCCACCCTAGCACACTGGCTTAGAGTCCCTCTCTTTGCCTGCCCTGAACTCCCCTTGTCTTCATACTACATTTCTGATGCTAGCACTACACCTACTCAACTCAGCTCAGTTCATCCCTCAACTTTCTTAATGAAGCCTTTTCATGGTATATAAGTGGTGTTTCCCTCTGATTAGCCTGCTATCATGGGCGTGTTCTGAGAAGCCAGAACCAGCACTGAGGACTATGAGGTAAGATTTTTCTCTTCCTTGCAATGGTGAAACAGAGGTGAACCATCTTCCAGAGCTCTGCTTTCAGTCCTTCAGAGACTAAGGAGGAGACAAACTGTAAGCCTGTGCAATGACTGCTGTAGCCAAGTAAAACCAACTCTCAGGGACTACAGAATGTCATTTTCACCAAAAGCAATGAGGCAGAAATGACATTATCAGGCAAATCTGGCATTTTGAAAAGAAGAAAATGGTCAGAAGTAAATGCTAGCCCTGAGGCTGATTCTTCATATTTTTTGCATATTCCAACCCTGGTACTTGGTACAGCTGCCAGTCTCTTGCATTTCTGGGAATTTCACAGTCAACATCAGGGTTAAAATCCCATATCCAAACTGTGCTGGATGCAGGAAATAAGAGCACCGAAGCTGCAGAGTCTGCTTGGGAAAATGCACCTCTACTTATGAATGGGAGGCCCTACTGCTGGCAGGTATACCTCGCACCTTGATTGCCCCTCTAGGTTAGTGGTGGGGATGGCTAACAGAGGATCGAAGATTTTGTGGCCATCTTCCTGCAGCTTCAGAACCATGAGCTCAGTTGAAAGCAGACTTGCAATAGTAATAGCACCTTCTCTAGTATCCTGGCAGGCCATCAGAACCCTATAGTATCACAGAATGGGCCACCCAGTCACCAGGGCAACCCAAAAATTCTACCAAAAACACTGATATAACAAGGTTAGATTCAAAGCAGTGGATATTTTCAAAGCATTCAAAGCAGAAGCTGTGCAAGCAAGAGGAGCCAAAATCAATCTCACTCAGAGGCTGCAGTTCCTTTCTCACATGTTCCTTCATGCAATCAGTGTAACTTAGCTGGATGTATGAAAAGAGATACCCAACAAATGTTTCAATCTTTATTAAAATTAATGGCTGTTTTTTCTCTTGTGCTAGGTATCTCCAAGATCTATCCTTTTGAGCCTGCAACATCCAGACTGGGGCATGAAGATCAAAGAGGATCTTACAGGCATGGGTTCTCAAATTGGAAAAAACTACTGGAGCCCTTCTCTTCTTGTTTTTCCTTTTAACTTTGGTTCTCAAAAAGAGATTGTCCATATGTATTACTGGGGTCTTATTTCTCAGTCAAACTCTTCCTGCCAAGGGCTTTATGCATATGTGCTACACCATCCATCTGAAGTGTTATGTTAAAGATATGTAAGGATCTCTTGGGCCTGAATTAACATTCATAAAGCCTGGGAGATGTGAGTAGTCTTGTTACTTTCTAGTTGGCTATGCAATATGTGAAAAGGAAGAATAAGGAGAAAAAACTTACCCAAATTTTGCCACATGCTGAACAGTTCATAAGCCATCATCACACGCATGTCCCCATACCTGGGAATAAGAACACAGAAGCCAGCTGTTAGTGGGAGAAGATTCAGGAAGATAGGGTTGTGAACCTTACGAGACCACTGCTTCAGCACTATTTTTTTTTTCTAACGCTTCCCAAAATGCTAAGCCATTTGGCTCTCGACTGAACTCTCATACTTGGCCCCTTGGGAAACTACTCAACTGAGAACTTTGTGGACTTCTGAAGGAGACTCTCATGGAAACATAGCCCCATCAGGGTGAGTGGTAGGGAGATGAACAGGAGACATGTGTCTTACTTATCTAGAATCTTCTTCCTCTTGGTTGAAGTGATGATTTCTAGCTGAAGGCTTGGCTGATTTATGAACAGAACTGCCAGGCTAAAATAAGAATTCCACACCTAGAGAAACAGAGAAAGTAGAAACATGTGACGGTCTAAGACCTTAACCTTGCAGGGAGTGTTACTAAATACATGCATGTAGCACAGAATTCATTTTATATTCTTAAGATCCTGATCTCACTATTTAAAGATTCTTTGTGAACAGGAATTTTTTTTCTTGACTCTTTCTGAAGCCAACAACGTTGACTCTGGACTAGAAAGTATACTCACGGATATCTGACTATCAGCACTTCTAACAGGGAGGCACCCAGGTCATATTCTAATCATCATAATGCTTGAAAGCTGTTTGTATTGTGAATATATTAATAAAGCAAGAACAAGCATTCAGTTTGGTTTTTGGTTGTCTATGGTTACCACAAAGACTTGATGGATTTTAGGAGCACTTACCTTAAAGTCAAAGTCTGTCTCTGTGAAATTCTTATGCAATGCAGAGGACAGGTACTGGACAGTAGTAACTATAATACTGAAATAAGGAAAAATGGCATTGGCAGAATTAAAAGACAAACAATGGTATCAGATAGCTTAGCATCAGTTGTCTATGGCCTATATGCAAACTTCTTGAGTACAACTTGTTCCAATGTAAGATGTGACTCTTAAAGAAAAGGGAAGATGGCACAAACTCTACAGAAAACCAGTCTTAGAGAAATGCCCCACAGTCGGCAGGACATCAATGGGTTCTGCCATTACCTAGCCTTCATGCTTCTTTTCTCTGGGCCTCAGTTTCCCTGCATATAAAAGGAAGTGGATAGGGTTCGATGGTTTTTAAAGTTTTTTTTTTTCCAGTTCAAAGACTGATTCTAATATTTTTGGGACCTCTGGGTAGTCAACACATATTATGATCACTTTGCAGGACTTAAAATAATCTTATTATTCTACTTGATAGTAGGAGTTTATAATTAATAAATCCTTGCTCTTGTCATATACTATTATTTTCATCTGAGTCATTTGATTTCAGCTCTTGGTCTAGAGTAGCATTCCCAATCTCAGCCTGAGCAAACAAGGGAAAACGGGAGGCTGTCTCACTGGAACAGTAAAGTGGAGAGGAAGTAAAATAGGATACATAGGTTTGATTACACAAGACCTTGATTGCCTGGCAAAAGGACATATGTTTAATAACAATGTGCCCCTGGGCTTTGGTGCAGAAGAGAAACAAGGCAAAAACAGTACATTAGAGAGACTAGTCCACAAGCAGAGGGTAAAAGCATTTAAAGGGTAAAAGCCTTGAAAAAAAAAGGCCGCACCTGGAGGGCAGACTGGGGAACCTGAAGTATTCTGAGTGGAGCTAAGAGGTAGAAACAAGAAGGATTCAAATGAAAAAGTCACTATTTGAGGAAATATCTGTGCAACTTTGTTTATAACCATTTTTCTGTTCCATATAAAATATTTTCAGTTTTGGAAGATGTTACAGTGCCCTATATATAAGGTACAAAGTGGAAAGACCATGCTAATATCCTGCTAATATATCTAACAAATAATTCCACTATATTCTTTATCATGCCAACATAAAAGGCAGATCAGTGGAAGGAAGTCATGGGTTAGAGCACAGAGGCCAAGTAGCCTACTCCTGAGCAGAGGAAGACCAGATGAGCCAGCCCCTTACCACCTGTATCAGTTGTCTGGTTTGCCAAGAGGCGGCACAGGCTAGAAATATGAATGAGGCAGATGGGATAGGGTTATCCTTAGAGTGAATTCTGTATCAGTAGTCAGAACCTGTCAGAGACTTGCAGTCAGGTCTCAGGTGAGTAATTGGCACTAGCTGTGGGAAGCAAGAACTATCTGGCAGACAACACAACTCAAATTAAGAGGGGGACTTGGGACTATGCCTACAGCTACACAGCAGCAAAGGGCAACAGGCCACCTAGCAGGCCTTCCTCAAGGGAAACACTTCGGAGTATTACATTTCAAATTCTTAACATTTCCTTTTCTATTCTTACTATGCCATCATCTACCAGGCATTTAGACTCCATTTAAAAATTATCTTTGATTCTCTTTGTTCTTATGAATGGCCAAGTCTGATGACTGTGCATACAAACATTTCCCCCATTTTCATTCTTCTCTCTGTTCCCATGACCGTGGCCTTCATCTGTCTTGCTTGTGCTTTCTCTCTCAAGTACATATGCTCCTTAGTCTGAGAACAGTTCTGTGATGCTGAAGGGCCCTTCCATACTCACTTGCTTGTGAGCAGTCTCATAACCATCCAGTCCCGAGGAAAGACACTCATCTTCATTAGGTTCCGGAACACACAGAAAATCTTCAGCAGGAATTCCTGTCCACAGAGGAAAAGCTGATATGAGTCACCACCACAGCACACATGTCCTCAAAAGGTTCCTCCTGGCCATTAGACCATGAGGATGGGTGGGAGTAGTGAGTCAGATTCTGGTTCTCTCTGTGAGTTGTTTTTGTCTTAGAGAGCTACATGAGAGTGAGTTCTGGGCAGTTTCACTGGCCAGATGGGAACAGATCCAAATTGGGCATAACAGAGGCAGCTCCATACCCACTTTATACCCACAGTACCTAATGCCCAAAGCACAGGGAAGAGTAGGATTCCACAGAACTGATGTTCAACTGAGTCTCTGTGCCCTCTCTGGGGAATGGCTCTTGGGTGCTTGATGTGAAAACATGCTTTTTTGGATATTAAGAACACATGAGCTGGGTTTGGTGGCTCACGTCTGTAATTCCAGAATTTTGGGAAGCCAACGTTGGAGGATTGCTTGAGGCCAAGTGTTCAAAACCAGTCTTTGCAACACAGCAAGATCTCATCTCTATAAAAAATGCAAATATCAGCCAGGCATGGTGGCATGTGCCTGTTATCCGAGCTACTTGGGAGGCTGAGGCAGAAGTATCACTTGAACTCAGGAGTTTGAGGCTGCAGTAAGCTATGATACCCCAGCCTGCGCAACAGAGGGAGACAATGAGGTTTGTCGCATTTTAACTTGCCCTATTCCCATCTCCCATTCCCTCTCTCTTCCTACCTTCACAGTAGCCTTGAAAACAAGCAGCATGGCAGTCATGAAAACCAGCAGCCGAGCAGTCACTGGGACAGAATGGTTTTGGAACTCCAAAAAAAAGCGCCCCATCACCGGAGAATTATTGTTATTTGACCTTCTTGGAAACTCCCTGGAAAAGCTGTGTTCATAGGGCTTGTCTTAAATTGACCTGACTCACAGCTCACTCAGTGAGGAAAGCTCCATCCCCAGGTACCACAAATGTTGCATTTATTAGGAAAAAATTTTTGAACAAATAACTAAAGGAAATAATACGTAAAGAATTAAAGTATAAGAACAGCATCTCACCAAATACAGTATAACAATAAAAAAGATAGAAATTATTTTAAAAACATCAAATAGAAATTCCAGAGTTGAAAAGTACAATAATATAAATGAAAAATTCACTAAAGAGGCTCAGTAGTATATTTGAGCTGGCATAAAAATTGGGCTGGCATAAAAATCAGCAAAACTGGGCAAAACCTTTAGGTCTCCTCCCACTGTGGGAGCTTTTCTGTTCTCTTAATAAATCCCAATTTCTCTCTCTTCTTTCTCTCTCTTTCTCTCTCTCTCTCTCTCTCTCTCTCTCTCACACACACACACACACACACACACACACAAATCAGCAAAACTGAAAATAGGTTAACTGAGATTACCTTGTAGGAGGGACAGAAAGAAAAGAAATGAAGACAAATGAACAGTCTCAGAGACCTGTGGGACATCATTAAGGGTACAATCATACACATAATGGGAGTGCCAGAAAGAAAAGAGAGAAAGAAAGGGGAAGAAATAATGGTAAAAATGCTTAAATTTGATTGAAGAAAACTTTAATCTATACAGTCAAGAAGCTCAACAAACTCCAAATGGGATAAAATAAAAGTGATCCATTCACAGAAAACATCAGAATCAAATTGTCAAAAGCCAAAACAAAGAAAATATTGAAAGCAACAAGAGAAAAATGACTGATCATGTACAAATAATCCTCAATAAGACTCACAGGTGACATTATCAGAAATAACGGAGACCAGAAGGCAGCTATTCATATTCAAAGTCTGAAAAGACTGTTAACAAAGAATCCTATATCCAGCAAAACTATCATCCAAAAATGAAGAAATTAAGACATTCTGATATAAAAACTGAGAGAATTTGCTATTTGTAGATTTGCCCTATAAGAAGTACATATATAGCTGGGCTCAGTGGCTCAGCCTATAATCCCGCACCTTCGGGAGGCTGAGGTGAGTGGATTGCCTGAGCCCGCGGGTTCGAGACCCGCCTAGGCAACTTGGCAAGACCTCATCTCTA